TCTCTTTTTCCCCGGAAGGCAACGACCTGGCGCCCAGTGCAGAGGGGCATGCCGGGCGCCTTCCAGGCGCCGTAGAGACAGGGCGTCAGAGGCATCGAGGGCCATCGGCCGAACTCGCTCGCAACAGAAACCACGAGAGAACTCGAGCACGTAATGCTCTTCATCCTTGGCTACAATGCTGAAGGCAGTGGGCATGGAACTGCCCCCTCTTCTTGCATGGGCTTGAAGTGCCGCTTGAGCTGGGTCCCCGCGCGTTAGCACTGGGGCGGGGCCGAGCCAGAAGAGACCGACCAGCAGTCCAGCAGGCCTCCCGAGGCCAGCGACGTGACACGAGGGCCATGCAGCTTGATGTCCCAAATCCCAGTCGCCGCCAAGCCCCGCGCAGCCGTCGCCGTAGGAGACCCTCTTTCATCACAATGCCAACTTGAGCACCGGCCACGCGCCGGGCCTTCGGCGGCCGCTTGCTCTGCTCGCCAACTCGACGAGCCGAGCCATCATTCGCATCGGTGCCCAAGCACCTGGTGCCTATCAGACGGTCCTCCTCCTTGCGGCTCCACCTGGCAGGCCGCGCATCCGAGAGCTTCCGAGAGCTGGACAGGAAGCCCGTCGTGTCCCGATTTGCACGAAGGTGCTTCGCCTCGAGGCCGTGGACAAGGCCCATCATGGCGTCAGGAAGCTGATTAACCACATGGTCCAAGGCCCCGACCGCCTGCAACATAAAATCACCCACAAGATCCTGAAAGTGGACCACGTGGAACTGCTTTTGAAGCTTGACGACGAGCGTGTACCCTAGCAGCCTGGCCATAACAAGGGCGCAGGAGCACCCTGCGGCAACGGCGCCGTTGGCCTGCAGGGTTGGCGAGACTACTCCCTCCCAGACAGCGCGTCGAAGAGCCTATGCACCGCGCAGAGGCACTTGAACAACTGCAGGGGACATCCAATGCGAACCGCTTCCCGTTTGTGCTCCTCCGGGGGAAAAAAAATGCGTTGTGCTTCCTGAGGTCTAGCACTCCACTCGTGGCCGAGAACCCTTGCAGCCTAGAAAAGCGCTGCATAATCTTGTGTGCATGGCCAGACGTGTCGCGCGCGTGTCCAGCGTCACCCCGGCAGGCAGGATTGTCCAGGAGGCGTTCCCAGCGACGACGCAGAGGGAGGTGGGCAATCGGCCGCGCGCCTCCTGGGGTCCGAGGCTTACTGTAAAAACGTACCAGGAGCAGCCGCAGGTTGGGGCTGGCGTTCCCATGCAACTAGGACGTCAAAGAGAACCTGTCTGTGCAATGGGGGCGGCCGCAACAATTGCCGAGGGTGAAGCACATCCCGGCTGAGTCCAGCAGGTGGCGAGTAGGCCCCCAGGGCGTGGTCGAGCTGCTCCAACGCAAGGGGGGGCAGCGACTCCAGGGGGCCCAGAGCCGACAGTGGCCCCGACGCGACAGTCGTGCCATTAGGGGGGCTGCCCTCCACCCGGCCCCCGTCCGCCCCCCGGACCTCCTCGCATATGGCGTCGAGATCCCACGTCGCATAATGCAGATGATCTGAGCTGCTATCCTGTGCGCGACGTCGCCTCTCAGAGAACTCCCCGGAAGGCCCCGTCCACGCGTTCGCTTGCGACGCGCCCGCGCAGTGAGTTGTGGGCCCAGTGCAGGGCGTATAACGCCCTGTTCCGCCCGATGGTCTCCGCGTCTGGCCAGTAGAAGCCCAGGGGGAGTTCCAATCCCTGCCTCGCGCGCGGCGGCGTCGGCCCAGCGCCTGCTGCCGGAGGCCGGTGCGCCGCTGGACAGTGGGCGGAATGCAGCGCCCCGTCGGGCCTGCCACTGAAACCGAATAGACTGGAAGCTTGGCCGCGAGAGCAACGACTGGGGCACCGGCGCCCGCGGAATGTCTGCAAATAAACACTAGTGGCCCGAGGCGCTCTGCCCGCCGCCAGGCGCTGGAGCCGCGCCAAAGCCCGGTGCGACTGGTGCCCGGGAAGAGCGGCGACTGGCCAGTGGTTCAGGCGGCGCCGCAAATGCCGCCGAGCCAGATCGTTGCCGCCTGCCAGCGCGCGACGGCCACCCAGCGCTGCCAGCCCGCCCGCCCGTCCAGGCGCAAGCCGCCGCGACAACTGGGCCTTCGCCTGGAGGTCTGCCTCGGACAGCTAGAGCAAGAAACATTGCGAGCGCCAGCGCAGCAGCCCAGCGTCTGGTCGCCACCCTGTCTGGCCAGCGAGGCCATTCGAGCTGCGCGCCGATGCGCGTCCAAGCGCCCGCCGTCCTCGGACCGGGCCGCCCGAGCCTTGGCGGCAACGCGGTCGCCTCCAGGTTCTATCGCTGCCGCGACATGTGGAGACCCCTGCGGCTTTTCAAGCAGTCGGTAGCTTTCCACCCCGGCAGCGGGCGCTCTGCTCCGCGGCCGCGAACGTCGGCGGCGCTGCGTCGAGTTGCGCCGCCAAGAGGAGGACCGATACCACGTAGATGCTGAGGGCGCGTGGCGCGAGGAAGGCCGCGGCGCCGATCAGTTTCCAGATGCGCGCCCTCTCAGCGCACTTGGTGGCAGTGGCGACCCGCGCGTGATGCCCGCGGTCAAGGGCGAGGCAGAGCCGGCAACCCCCGAGCTGCCCCGCCGTGGTACTGCCGCCGCAGGCTCCCGCCCGAAGTCGAGTTCCGTGAAGGGGTCGAGGGGGGCCAGCGCTGTCTTGGGGGCGTTGATGCCCGCCCCCGATATCCGGGCGAAATCTGCGAAGACTGCCTGCTGCGCGGGGGGCCTCAGCAGCGCCCCCGGCAGCCCCATGGCCAGGTCGTCGGCATAAGCGCGGCGTGGCGCGGGGGAAGAGACGGGCGAGTCTGCGCTGGTAGAGGTGGGACACAGCAGCGAATAACAATGGTGATGAAAGACATCCTTGGCGAATGCCCCTCCTAATCTACATGCCAGCGTGCGCCGATCCGCCCGGCGCTATCTGACAGAAGCTGTGCCAATTTAAACTGCCGGTGAAATTCAGGAGTCGCGCCGGCCACCCGACTTCGCGGAATGCATCGGCGCTGCGAAAGTTTCGACCCGTTTTGTGTTTTCAGCTAAATCGCAAGCTGGACCGCGCTCTCGAGGAGGCGGTTGTCCGTGTTCGCGATGTTCAATGGTCGCGCGCCGCCAGGGGCGAACGACCCAACGCCCTCCTTGGTCCAGTCCGCGGCCGACTTCGGTAGGAAGCTGTGCAGGCTCGCGCTGAAGTCCCCAAAATCTGCAAAAAGGAATCTGGGCGTCCTCGCGGCAGCAATCCGCGAGCGCCCCGTGCAGGACGTCCGCGGCCAGAGGGCCCAGACGCCGCCAAGCAGCGTAAGGCACCCCGCTCGGACCTAGCGCGGAATTGCTGGAGATCCCGCTTCACGTGACCCCGCCTGGCGCGAATGCGTCGAAGGCCCTCGTGCGACGGAGCCCGGCCCGCGTCCCCGTCCACGGCGGTAGCGTCAGCTGATGCGCGATTCTCGGCGTTCTCCCTGAACCGCTCCGCCAAGAGGCCCTGGTCGATTCCGCGACGGCGGGAAACCTGCGACCGATGCTTCAGGAGGGCTGCAGCCATGTCCTCCAGAGCAGTTGCGTGACCGCCGTCCTCGAGCTTCACCGCCTTCACGCTCGCGCTGCGTCCGGGCGCCAGCTTGTACAAGAGCCTGGCGTACTTCTGTTTTGCCTGGGCTGCCCGTGCCGCGTCTTCTGACTTGGCCGCCTCCGACGCCTTCCCAAGCTCGTCGAGGGCGTGATCCGTTGCCAATTGCACTGCGTGGTCCCTGAAAGGGCGCAGCCGGCGCTCCAGGTGGCCGTCCACCGCGTGCGGGTTGTCCACGAGGGTGGCCAAGACGGGGTAGCCGACCAAGCACGCCGAAATCTCTCCCATGGCTCCCGTCTCCAACGCGCGGAGATACTTCACTGTAAGGCCCAGCCTGTTATCGTGGTGCACCGCGGCCTCACGCTGGCCCTCCGCGAACCCCAGCTGCTGCCCCACGTCGCACATGGCCTGCGTAAGCAGCCGTAGGCGACGCAGACCGGACGCGTCAGGCTCCGCCGCCGCCGCCGCGTAGCACGCCAGAGACGTCCGACGAGCGAAATCCTCATGCTGGACTGCCGCGGCTGACAAACCGCGCGCCACAGAGCCGACCCACCGGGGAGCCATGCGAGAGAATAGGACGGCCCTGTGGCTAGACAGTCCAGGCATCCACTCCAGCGCCACCATCTTGACGTCGCGATCTAACTGGTCTGACATGCGAACCTTGCAATAGAAACGGTCCACGAAACGTGGATTGTCAAATGCAGGACGTGCTGGCTAAACAACGCTGGCAGACCCACGTTCCGGCGAGTTCGTGTCTTTCGTTTCCTCGACCCGGCGGCGGCGGCTTTCCAGCATCGGTGTGCGTTCCAGCAGCTGCGCGGCTCTGAAGGCGTTCCAAGGGTGCCCAGGTCGTCCCGAACGGCCGCCAGAGGCGCGAGGTATACCTCGACCCTCGATGTCGCCCCCCTCCTCGATCCTCTTCTCGAGTCAGGGCCCCTCCATCTGCCGCCCCCGCCTGTGGAGATCGCCGGGGAGCGCAGGGCGCCGCCGCGAGGTGCGCCAAGGCGGAGTGGCGGAGTGCCGAGGCGGAGGAGCCGCGGCCCCTCGCCCTCAGCATTTCGGCGGCGAGCGAGGGGGGGCAGTGAGAAAGGACCTTCTCAGAAGGCTCGCCCCCTCAAGAGGAGAAGGGAAAACCGTTCGACCCTTGAAGTGGGAGGGCGCCGAAGAGTATAGTGGGACCTGGGAATCCAGCGAACCTACTTTCAACGACCAGCGGGTATTGCGGCCCCTTGGGGGGAAGTGAGAAGGGGCGGGCCTTCTCAGAAGGCTCGGAAGGCCCCCGGCCTTCCGAGAATTTGCTAAGCCTCTCCCGACGACGCAGACAACCTCTAGGGAGGCGCGAAGGCTTCTGAGAAGTGCAGCCGCCTTCTGAGAAGGCCTTCTCCTTCTCACTTCCCCCCTCGCTCCCCGTCGATCACTGGGCGGCGCTCCTCCAGGTTGTAGGCCTGCCCGTCCGCGGGGTCTACGCGGCGCTCCACGCCCTGGCGGGGGGATCTGTCGGCGCGCGCGCGCAGGAGGCTGCGCCGCTCGCCAGGGCGGCTTCCCGCCAAGGCTCTGGTCGCCGCCGCCGCCGCCGCAGCCGTCGGAGTCAGCGTCGGCGTCGGCGTCGGCGTCGGCGTCGGCGTCGGCGTCGGCGTCGGCGTCGTCGTCGTCGTCGTCGTCGTCGTCGTCGTCGTCGTCGTCGTCGTCGTCGTCGTCGAGGAGGTGTTGCGGGAAAGGAGCCCGCGCCGGCCGATGCGCTGCGCAGTGACCCTTAGCCTCCTCCTCTGCCCCCCTCCCGCCCGCTCTGAAGAGGTCGCCGCGGGCGCAAGGTCCTCGGACGGAGACCGATGTGTCCTTTCTTCTATGCCCCTGCGCGCCATTCACGTCCGCACTGACATGAGCCGACGTGGAGTGAACTCGCAGCCTTAAGGCGCTGCAGCGACTGCCGCATCGGCGAGGGGAGGTTCCTTTCTTGGTCGCCACGCCTGACGGGGAAGGAAAACGCTACCTGTCCTGTCCTATGAGCGCGGCATGGCCACCCTTCTGCACGCATTCGCAAATTGCTCCTTGATCCACTGCACTGGTACTTGTAGCGCGCTTGGCTTGTGTCAAACCCCGTCTTCTTCACCTCTTCTTCCTCACCTTCTTCTTGATCGCCCATAGCTCATGTCGAAGCAGAACTTGCGGCCGCCGACGGCCATACGCCACGACACACTTATGGAACGCCATGTCTTAACGTCCGTGGCTTGCCAAACGGCAGCCCTGGTGGCAGCCCCAGGCTCCAGGGCCTGAAGTGCCGGCCCTTGGCCAAACCCACAGGCTTCAGAATCCCCCCCTAATCAAGCAACGGGCACATGCTGGTCGATCCTGCTCTGAACACATCGTGGCGCTCAGGCCACGAGCCGACTCGCGCAATACTGGATCACCAGTCTAGGGTGGCGCGCTGGTTGGAAGACATCCTCCTCGTCCTCCTTCTCCCCTCCGTGTTATTTTGAAGGAGCGCGCCCATTCCCCCACAGCGCTCCCGCTGCTCCCTGCCTGCCTTGCAGGCCGGCGCAGATGTGACCCACCAGCGGTCTCGTTTCTCGAGCGCACGACCCGAGCAAGCTTGTACGCCCCCTCCGTGAACACCTGGAAGATCTCCGCGAGCGCCCGCACGGAGAGGACCTCCGCGAACTGCTAGAATGAGAGATCGCGACTTTGGGGGGGACCCTCGCGAGCGCCCTGAAGCATACCGCAACCACCCTCATGAAGAAGACCTCCGCAAGTAGCTGGGATAATACCTCCAATTGCTAAGAAGACTCCCGCGAACACCCTGAAGAAGACAAGATGACGCCTACACGTTCCCTAATGAAGGCGAGCTTCATCAACACCTGAGCAGAGACCCCACGAGAACGAGAAACACGCAGGACCAGACCTCCACAAACGCCCCGCGAACTCCCTGAACAAGATAGTCGCGAACCCCCGAACGAAGATGGCCACACACATCCAACATAGCAATTCCAAGACAATCTTGACGAAGAGAAGCTCCGCGAACAGCAGGAGAAGCACGCCCGAAACAAGAACTAATAACACCTCCGCGAATACCTTGACGAACACCTCTACGGGTACCCTCATGAAGAGTGCCTCAACGAGCCCCTCGAAAACCATATAAACAGCAAGACGCATTCTGCGAGCACCCTGAAGAAGACAACCACGAACGCCCAGAAACCGCAGGCAGCGAGACCACATGCACCAGCCAGGCAAAAAAACATTACCTACAGAACCTTCACCCGGCGAGAGACTGCACACCAACCATGAACGTATTTTTGGTTGTCCGCAAGATTGCCACACTGGGAGACCGCGCAGCCTGGGCGCAGCAATGGACGTTCCCAACACTGCAGGCACCAATCAACACTTCGCTCGGCAACCGCAGGCGGCCAGGGGCGTGCCATGCCGATACCCCCTGATAAAAGGTACACGCCGGTCGGAAGAAGTGGGTAGAATCATGAAGCAGGAAGGCGTGGGAAGCAGATTGGGCTTCCGCCCGCCCCCTGAAGAGGAGGCAAGAGGGACAACCGCTCGACTCTTGAAGTAGGAAGGCGCCTAAGCAGATTGGGGCCAAGATATCCGACGATATCTGCCTCCAACGACTGGCGTGTGAAGGTGCGCACCGACTGCACGCAGGAGTGGCCCCAGGCAAGGAGTGCCCTCTGTTGCGTGGCTCTCGGGGGCCGCGGGCATGCCGAAGACAGGCGCGCAGGCCAGCGCTGGGGTTAAGTCGGGCGTGTCCCCCTACAGGGGGATTTTCGACGAAAAATGAAAAAATACACAAAGAATGCCCCAAAGTGGCCAAACAATAATCAAGCAATCGTCCCCAGACAATTTTTGTACCTATTTTTGAATTTCCCTCCTGTAGAGGGACAGGCCCGACTTAACGCTGGGAGGGGGCCGTGAGTCCGCCCCTCCCACGCGCAGCGGGGCACAGGGCGGAAAACGCACCAACGATGAGCTGCTCGCGTACGGCTCGTCGTTAGCGAGCCGCTGCAGGCGAGAGATGCCCAACGCACGCGCTGTGGAAGGACGAAACGAGAACAAACGAATAACACACATTGACCCCTGCACCATGATGCAAGACATTGGTCGTGACTGGTGGCGTGTTCTTGTGCAGACGAGGCAACCGCCCGATAGTCTGATTTCCCTGATGTTGCCGCACCCCGCCGCGCGGGAGTTTGGGCACCGGCGACTGGAGAGCGATTCCAACCATGCACCTATAGCCCCGTGGGAGGAGCCGAATATACCGCAAATGATCCGCCGGCTCCCTTTTGAGGCCACCAGGCTGTAGGGCGAAGTTGCTGCTCCCTGCGCCAGCTGCAGTTTCAAGTCTCCAATGTTACACTCCTGCTTTCTGCTTCCTGCTGCAATTTGTTTCAGTCCGCGCGAGGGAGGGAGCACCAAACCAGCAATCCTCAAGGACTACCCCCCCCCAAAAAAGTGGCATCGGGGTTCAGAAACCGCACAACGGCCAAGGGTGATGTAGCATGATGGCGGTGGTTGCGAGCGCCAATATTTGGCGATGACTTTGCCGCCGGGCTAGCCGCACAAGGGCGCCAAGCGAGGGGGCTCACGCACGCACCACGCTACAAAAGATTGCCACTGGGACGTGTAGAAATACATCAGATCCGCGCCCCCGAAGCCCGTACATTACACAATATTCGCGTCCCCGAGGCCACTAACCCTCGCAAATTATACATTTTTGTGCCATTGCCGAGGCCAAGATTGCTCCACGGCACTCGAAGATGGTTCTAAGACGGCCCAAGAGGCCCCAAGAGCGCTCCAAGAGGCCTCCCGAGAGAGACGCAAGAGGCCCAAATCGTAGAGCTTACGACAATTTTTGAAACGAATTGGGATTCTCGCATTTTAGGCTTTCCGACGCTCCAAGACGGCTCAAGAAGTTTCCAAGACCGCCCAAGAGGCCTCCAAGAGGGCCCCAAGAGCGCTCCAATATTGCCCAAGAAGCGCCCACGACGGCTCAAGAGGGCCCCAAGACCACCCCAGCAGGGGGCCCCAAGAGATCGCCAAGAGGCTCCAAGAAGCCCCAAGAGGCGCTTAAGACGCGCCCAAGAGGCCTCCAAGAGGCCCAGAAGATACCCCACGATGCCCTAAGAGGCCCCCAAGAGGCGCCCAAACCGCCTCCAAGAGGCTCCCCACGACACCCCAATACAAGAGGCCTCAGACCCACAACCCAGGCACGGCGGCGGGATGGGCCGAAGGCCACTCGGATCCGCCGCCCTCTGTTAGCTTGCCACAAGGGTGCCGAACTTGCTAAATCCTACCGCTTTTGGTTTTGGTTCTTTTCCCCAAACAACTCTCCCCTAGGGCTTCGGCCCGTCCCGCCGGCCACCTAGAAGGCCTCGCAAGGGACCACAAAGGCACCACAAACGACCTCAACGTCCCGAACGAATCCCCAAATATGTCTCAAGATGCCCTCTAAGTTCGTCCAAGATGGCCTCCAAGACGGCTCAAGAGGGTCCGAGATGCCTTCACGTCGGCCCAAGAAGCTCCCAAAACGGTCCAAGAGGGCCTACGAGGCCCCCACGAGGCCTCCAAGACTGCCCAAGAGGCCTCCAAGAGGACTTCCAGGAAGGCCCGAAGAGGCGAAAATCATGGTTTTCCCTGAGTTTTTTGAAGAATTTTGGCATTTGCTTCTTTTCGGCCTTCCGACGGCCCGAGACTGCCCACGAGCCCCGAAAGATCGCCCAAGGGGGCTCTAGGATGGCCTCAGAACGGCACAAGAGGCCCCCAAGACGGCCCCAGGAGGGCCCTCAGACGGCCAAGATGGCCCTGCAGCGCTCCAGGAGGGTTTCAAGTCGGCCAAGAAAGGCTCCCAAGACGGATTCCGACGGGGTCAGACGGGCCAGGACTGCCCTGAGACAGCCAAAGAGGCACCCGAGAAGCCCCCAAAGGCCCCCAAGAGGCCCGAGGAGGCCCCCAAGATGCCTCCAAGATGCTCCCAGGAAGCCCCCAGGAGGCCCCAAGAGTGTTCCCAGAGGCCTCCCAAGATGCCCCCTCCTCCTCCTCCTCCTCCTCCTCCTCCACCTCCTCCAACTCCTCCTCCTCTTCCTCCTCTCCTCCTCCTCCTCCTCCTCCTTCTCCTCGTCATCGTCGTCCTCCTCCTCCTGATTTTCCCCGCCATCCTCCCCCAAATGTTCCCCGAAGTTTCCACAACGGTTGGGGGAACACATGGTCCGATAGCTTGGCAGAGCTCTTGCCACAACGCTTGGCCACATGGGCGATTTCAAAAGGCAGGGGGCGGCGGTGATTCGCGGTAAGCGTCTTCGAGCCGACGCCCCCTGTGGTCTTGCCACAAGGGTGCCCAGCGTGCTGAATCCTAGACGGTTTGGTTCTGGTTCTTTTTCCAAGAAAATTTCTCATGGGGCTTCGGTCCGTCCCGTCGGCCACCCGCAAGGCCACACAAGGGACCACAATTTTCGGAGGAAATTCTCCGAAGACGGCTCGC